ACTGTGCAAACATCAGGGTGAACTTATATAACCTAATGGTCCAGCCTTCTACACACCTAGGCTATAGGGTATGGCCTGTTGCTCCTCAGCCACAAACCTGCATGGCATGTTACTGTACTGGACACTGTAGGACACAGTAACACAGTGTATTCTGTAAACCAAAGAGACATCTACATCTATAAGCCAACATAGTCACAGATTATTTTGCAGCCACAGCTGCAATTTTAACCCCAGTGCGTGATAAATAACCGTGGAGCACTCACAGAGTGAGGCCAGCACATCGCCACCTTCTGGGAAAAACCAGGAGCCATTGTCCCAAAAGAAATTATGAACATCATACTGACCATTTGCTACTTATTGTACTAAAAACACTAGCTTTTAATAAGACTCTTGTGTTCACAGATCCCAGTGCATGGCATATTGCTCGTCTGTTTTGAACTCTTAACCTCAGGTGATCCACCCACCTCGGCCTCCCAAAGTGCTAGGATTACAGGCGTGAGCCACCACGCCCGGCACTCGTCTGTTTTAAAGGCCGGTACTGAAGAGCCAGCCAGAGGGTAGAAGGCAGTCTTTAAGGGCTCTGGTCCATTTGAGAATCAGAATCAGGTGATGAGCACGCAATTTCTAGATAACAGCCTGTACTGCATGATCTTCCAGACCCTTCCATCTTCAAGAGTTAAATATGCTTAAAATTAGAAATATTACAAAAATCCAGGCTTAAAACTTCCATTTGGTACTGGGCAAAAAGCCTGGCAATTAAAATGAACTTATCTTTGAAACTGGAAAGATGCCTACTGGCACTGCTCACAGCAACCTAAGGTTAAGTCATCTTAACATTAATTCATTTTTGAAGAAACACCTACAGATGGGCCTAATCATGAATTTAAGCAGCTTGTCAGGAAATCACTGAAGGAATTCACTCAACTGCTCCCCATCCTCAGAGGTGACCTGGAAGCAGTTTTCACTTTGCTCTAACAATCTACCTCCTTCCAATTCACCAGCAGAAACACAGCAAATACAGCACATTTATTTTCAAACTCTAAACAGTAAAACATAACAAAAAACTCAACAGAAATACACTTCAAGAGATAAATTCCACTCAACAAAAGCTATAGTTGTAAATGAAACTAAGCTTTATGACAATATTTTTATAATTCTTGGAAATATAGTATTATGTAGAAAGGATTTTAATAACAGCTGTGAGGATGTATAAAACCACTAAAAATGCATCATAGGGATCAAGGGTTTTCAAAGTGTGGTCCTCAAAGCAGCAGTCTCATCGCCAAGAAATGTGCTATTAATAGAAGTGCAGATTCTTGGGCCCCAGGCCTCGTGAATCAGGACCATTGCAGGAAGGACCTGGCAATTTCTGTTTTAACAGCCCTCAAGGCAATTCTACACACTACATACAATTTGAGAATCACTAAGAGAGATGGAATAATGAAATTGCTGAAAATAGAGTTTTGGGTAGAAATTATGATTTCTATAAGAAATATTATAACTTTAAAAATACAGAAAGGAACTATTCTAATTATTTTATTTTCTGGTCAACTACTTTTAGTATATTTTTAAAAAGAGAAATGAAATATCCATCAACTTTTAGTATGGCCAATATGTGCATTAAATTATCCTTAGCAAGAGAGTTTTTCTCTATTGGAATCAAATGTATATTGTGACAAAAATATTAGTACCTAATACTATTTGCAGGACATAATAAATATGCCTTCCCTAAGGCCACAACCCCAGAGAACACCTTTTTCATCTACCCTCTAAAGTCTTTCCTCTTCTCCCTTAGGCAGAAAGAATAAGTATGTGATCTCTTAGGGATTTAAAATCTTACAGAGGAAAACAGCCTCCCAGACCTGTGGCTGATGCTGCCCAGCAAGTCACCCAGGCCAGCTCTGCACCTTTTTCAACCATACCCTAGTTGTGATCTGTCACTTCCCAAGCAACTGTTACAAGGATAGGGGATGCAGCAATTAAGAAAATAAAATGTTGACAACTTGTTCAGTTTACCAGAAACCCAGTAAACGGTTACTGTTCAGGTACAGCTTTATATCCACATCCACAGAATCAATGCGGATGAAACGTAACATGTAAAGATTTATGAACACACACACGGTGAGTAAAATTTCTGAGTTTTCTGGATTTAAGCAGGTATGGCTCACAGATGAAGGTATGATAATGAAATATGGAGAATAAGCAACAACAATGCATCACCTTTAGCTACTAACAATAAATGATAATTGATGAAAGAGGAGGGGGGGCGGGAAAAGGAAGAAATGGAAGAACAAGCAGTAGGTACTGAGGTTCAGGGCAGAAAAAAGAGCCCAACAGGTTCGTTCGTTTGTTGGTTCACTGATTCATCTAACATATCCAACAGGTACTTCTGATATACCCAGTGCTTACTGATAGTGGATCGCATAGGATGTAGCAATGTTTGTTTTCCCTGAAATATCCACCTCTCAATATAGTCAAACAAAGGTCTAGCTCATTTACACTGCAGTCACTCAGGATATTTTAAAAACTGATACACATCTTGAAGATCCATTCCAAAAAAACAGCCGTGCTTATCCAGAAGCCAGGCTTCATATGGTAACCTCAATTAAAGGCCCAGGCCCAAAGATTACAAGAAAAGAAAAGGAAATTAAATGAAGATGCCTGCCTCTGAGTTCTGCAGGGAGGCGGAACCCCTCAGAAACCTTTCCATCCTGGCATGCTGTGAAGAATTATGTCAGATCATGAACCTAAGGGCTCTTGGTGGCCGGGTGGTGGCTGTGAAATGCCAAAGTGAACAGGAAAACACACGGGGATGGGGGGAGGCAGTGGATGGTGGGAAAAAAATAAGCAAAGGACTTGTCCAGTAGGGAAGGTTCCCAGCAGTCACAGATGACAGCTCAGAACAGCCTTGGTTATGAACAGGAAATGCAGTAAACCTGGCTTGGTTCTGCTGTCAGGAGAAAAGAAGCAACACACCTCAGAGCCCTTGCAGAATCCCCGTGGCACATGCATACTAACAGCTGAAATGGCCCATGTCATGGCAAGATCCATCAGGACAAGCTGCCCTGCACAGCATCAGGCCACGTGGAGCCTCAGACCGAGACCGTGCCGCTACGTGGGAATAGCCGATGCAAGTCCCGGTAAAGCCCTTTCCACCTTATATTCCTGGAATCATACGTGTTGTTCCTTGACTTTCTAAGCTAAGGAAGACTGTAAAATATCTGGAAAGGCTTCCATTAAAAAATGGTTAAAAGGAAATACAATTAGTACTTTAATTCTTTAGAAAAAGTCAGCTTATTCTCTAACAATGCAAGGCAACTGAGACAGTGGGGTGTAGAGTTCTGAGATGAAATGCAGCCCAAACATGCATCGCTCCATATCCAAAGGGATCTGGTCCTCAGTTCAGACAGCAATGGCCACCTGTGCATGTTAAACAGAAAAGCTATAGGTCTTCCCTAAGGCCACCACCCCAGAGAACACCTTTTTCATTTACCCTCTAAAGTCTTTCCTCTTCTCCCCAAATCCTAGGAAGAAAGAACAATGATTGGGGCCAATGTCTCCACACTGCAGGACTTCCCTCTGAGAAAGTCTCTTCAAACTCAAAAATTTTAAGCCAAGATCATATTTTGTGCATTATCCTTAGCCCTTAAGCACTCTGGACCAAGCACTTAATATTGTAATTGGTTTTCCAGCGCTTTCTCTAAGTTTCTGCTCGATTGAGTTAAAAGCGCTGCTGTCCTTAATTTGCTCAAGGCTTCAAACGTGATCTAAAGGAAGTGGTGCACAGAGCTCTCATCATGTGAGAACAATTCAATGTGATGTCTTGCCAGGAATGATAAACCCTGGTGACTTGATAAGAAAATCTCAGAGTTCAGATTTCAGATGAAGTTAGCTTTCAGGCTGGCATGCCCTTCCAAGTACATCTAAGGCTCCGCAAAATTGATGACACCATAAAGGAGCCCAGTTTCCACCAACACGATGCTCCTTCCTCCAAGAGAAGCAGATCCCAGTTGCCTCTTTCTGGAGGGCTTTGAATGCCTCTTAGATCAGTCAACAGGACTCTTGAATGTACACTTACTCATTGTGCTAGTAACCTTTTCAGAGGACAGCAGTGGCAGTAGGTAGTACATAGTAGTCTTACAGTGTGCATTTAAAAATGAAATTGAAGCCTACTAGAACCAATACAATTCAAATATATCAAACTCTATCTCCTAAATGCTTGTTTTGGGGGTCTCTCAATTGTAGAAAGTGTATTCGGAAAGACGTTTGCAAAACTGGTGGAGTATTTCCTTGACACCCGAAAAGGCTGCCTTCTGGGATGCAGGCTCCAGTTGACCCCATGCCTGAAACTACCCCACAGCCTGCCCACTGCTGGAAATGGTCTGCTGCCCCACTGGAGTGGCCTCATATCTCCGACTCACTGCACACACACAAAACTCATCTCTCTTAAGAACCCTTGTTTTCTTTTCAATTCATCTCCTAAGTGCTTTAAAAGCTTTTCAGAGATGAACTCAGTGGCGCTGCCTGGAGAGGCAATGACCTTGGGATTATATGGTTTACAAAGAAAAAGCAAGCAAACAAAAGGCAGTGTCAGAAACCAGCCGCAGGTCTTGCAGAGACTGCTTTCTCTGGGACACAGACAGAGTAGAAACAAAGTAAATCACTCGGGCCTTCTGCTCACACAGAATGGGCAACCAGGAGAAAAAATGATGTTTGAGCCCGTAAAATACAAGAGGGGGAATCTTAGGAGAAAAGCAGAACCACCTTTGTGAGCTAAAAAAATTTTTTAATTAACCTTCCTCCTCCAGAAATGGACACACACTATCCCCAAAGCAGATGGAAGGAAATCACGGAGTAGCAAACGTTATACTAAATTGCATTCATCTGCATCTCCCACTTTCTAGTGTACTCACACAATGTGAAAAGGGTGTGGCACACAGAGCCACCGCGCAAGGCACATTTACTGCCTCCAGGCAGAGCTGCGGGCGCAGCGCACTTACCGAGGACTCGCTGTCCCTAATGAGGAAGTCGCCCTCCACGCCCCGCTCGTTGAGGGCGCACTCGGCCTGGTGCCGCGTCACGTTCCCGTAGTACCACTCTCTGCCTGCGAAGCGCCCGCTGGACGAGGGCCCGGTGTAGCTTATCTGTGGGGCGTGTGCAGGGTGCAGGGCCGGCCCGTCACTGAGGACCACCACGTAGTTTTTGGGGACGAGGCCCACCTGGCCCCGGGCATTTTTGCATTTCCACCACTCGGGGTCGTTCTCGGGCTTCTCGATCACCTCCATGGTTTCCCCCTTCTCGAAGTTGAGCTCCTCCTCGGTCACTGAGCTGAAGGGGTACAGCGTCTGGACCACGTGGAGCACGCGGGAGCCCTGGCCGTTGCTCAGCGAGGCGCCCTTGCGCAGGCTCAGGAAGCTCGGGGACTCCGCAGCCGCCTCGTCCACCTCTTCCAGGACGTAGTTGGAGGGGAACCAGCCGATCTGCCCGTTGTAGCTGCCCCGCCACCAACCGTCACTGCACTTCTCCATGACAGTGACGCGCGAGCCCTTCACCAGGGACAGCTCATCCTCCCGCTCGGCCACGTAGGCGAACTTGACAAAGGCGGGGATGTTGAGGTCGTAGATGCGGTCGGCGCCGCTGCCGTTGGCTGGGTACTCCGCGTCCGTGCTGGGCGTGGGGGACGCGTCCCGCGCGCTGGTCTTCCTGCGCGTCTTGCCGAGGCCTGTGGAGACACAGCAAGGCTCAGTGGCGCGGGGCACTTGGGCACCACCCCACTCCCTAGCTTACCGGGATTTCCACGCAGTTTCTCTGGTGGTTAAATACAAGGGGACACATGGACGGTACTTACTGTGTGTAACAGGCTGAAGCCCTGTCTCTCAAATCAAACAAAACCAAAAAGTGCAGGAGTACCAGTGACACAAAAGAACAGCAGAGAGTTTCCTTCTGAAATAATCATTTCTAGAGCATTGCTGCGCCTCTCGGAAAAAGTATAAACGCAGAGAAAATATCTTTTTCATTTCTAGAATGACTGTGAAGTTAGACTACACGAATTACCATCAGAAAAGTAAGGTGCTGGCAGCTGCCTCCTATAGGGAAGGTACTTAAAGTTGAGAATTACTTACAATGATCTCTGTTTTACCCATCAAAACATGTCATGGGGCCAGCACAGTGGCTCACACCTGGAATCCCAGACTTTGAGAGGCCATGGTGGAAGGATTGCTTGAGGCCAAGAGTCTGAGACCAGCCTGGGCAACATAGCAAGACCCTGTGTCTGCAAAAAAATCACTCCACTGCACTCCAGACTGTGCAACAGGGTGAGGCCGTCTCTAAAATCAAAACCACAAAGAGCAGGAATACCAGTGACACAAAAGATAACAAGAACAGCAGAGAGTTTCCTTCTGAAATAACCATTTTAGAGCATCGCTGTGCCTCTCAGAAAAATAAAGTATAAACGCAGAGAAAATATCTTTTCTGTTTCTAGAATGACTGGGAAGTCAGACTAAATGAATTCAAAGACCAGTTAGAACTCTTAAGACCGATCCAGTCTTAGGGAGCACAGCCATACCCTGCCCTGCCCTGCCCTGCCCCCAGCTGCCTTGCCATGGCCTCCTCTACTCCTGGGACACTCACTGCCCCTACCCTCACCCCTGGGCAGCTTAACAGCCCTACTGGGCAAAACCCATCATCTCCACCTTTCTTCTCTTAGAATTCTTCTCTTCTTACAATTCTTTCAAACAGCAGACTAATTTCCCACAACAAATTGTGATGAGTGAATTAGGAAAAATTAGCTGATAGCTTAAATCGAAGGCAAAATTTTTCGTACTGTGATTCAAAGCCTACTAGTGGATGATGAAAATCACTTTAATGAGTTGCAACCAGCCTATATGTATGTGTTGCGTTTAAGGGAATAAAGTAGAAAATTACAGTACATCAAACACAATTACAATAAGTACTGTTTCTTCAGTCACAGATGTGGGTATTGAATAGGAATGAGAAACATTTTTTCCTGTGCATGAGGAAAAAAGCTAGAAAAGCCCTAAGGTAAAAATGTTTTAACTGCATGGAATTCCGGAACATTCTAGCAGAGGAAAGCATGTCAGCCCCAGAGCCGGGGACACACCCTGCACAGGCAGACTGGCCTTCCTTGGCTGTCCTGATAGAGGAGTGCTTCGACCTCTGCCTTAGCCAGTGTGGAGGTTTAGTCATTTGCAGACTCCTCAAAATGATACCAAAGCACTTCCGTGGGTAGCTTGTACCCCTTTCTCCTTTTCTTCCTTAAACTGGAATAAAGGGAGATCAGTCCTAAGAATTACTTGTGCTTCTATGGCCTTGCTGAGTGGGGAGGAGGTCAAGAGGGGGAAAAGGCTGATTGCCCTCAATGGTGGAGAGCTAGGCTGCTGGCCCTGGGGCAGACCGGCCCCTCCCAGCAGCCACTGGCCAGGGATGCGCAGCCCCACAGTGCTGGGAAGTGTGCAAGGCCACTGGAGGGGTTGGCCACGGAGGTTTTAGAACAAATACAGACTCATTTATGCTAATGGCTTCTGCCCTTTCTCTGTATCGCAGCATTTTATTCACGTGCATGGGAAACACAAGAGTAAGCCAGAATCTCAGAACAGGTGAAATGCTTAGATTTCTACTTTGGGTTAACTTGTATTATATAAAAACACAAACCTCTAAATCTGAGAACTCATTCTTTCCCAGGATTTCAAACGCAGGATGGTTCAACTACACCATGAGAGCACCATAATAACACCACAGCTCCCCAATCCAGAAAGCAGGCCATCGATGAAAGCAAACTTTTTTGTCCAGAAAGCAGTGGTGCCTGAAGCTCAATCAGGACGGCCTCACAGCCTTATCAAACAGCTAGCATGCCGGGGCAGGGGGGCCAGGCAGAAGAGAACGTTTATTGGTAACAATGATGTCAAGAAATAACACTGAAAAATAAACTTTTAATAGACCTTTGCAAACGTGAATTACAAAAGCTACTTGAGAAAAAAATGCATGTGGAAGAGCAGGTTTTGGAATATTTATCAGGCCATGAAGACAAAAGTGACAAGATCAGCAGAAAAGACATTAGATACTGGCTATTACAATATGTTACAAAGACACTTTATAACTGATTTATGAATATTCTACTTAGTGACTTCTTTCAAAAGCAAAATGCAGTAATTTAAATTAATTAACACAGCCACCGAATTCCTGAGACATATCAGACACCAATCTAGACGGTGGCGTGGAGGGGTGAAATGAGCAAACAGGCATGCTTTCTGCCTGCACAGGGCTTATACTTCTCCATCACGATGACAACATTGTACATAGCCAGCATGCAGCAGAAATTTTACTTGTTTTGCTCCAATGTGATCTAAATAGTCTTTGGGGCAACTCAGCGGGGCAGTGCAGACTGACAGAGAGCTGTGCGCTCTTGATCACATCACTTAATAATGGTCTCTTTGTGTTTTAGTTTTCTTACCCCCAAAACGTGAATATAATAGTCTGTTCTGGCTACTCTAACAAGTACCATAGACTGCGCGGCTTAAACAACACACATTTCATTTCTCAGAGTTCTGGAGGCTGGAAGTCCACATCAAGGTGCAGGCAGGGTTGGATCCTTGCAAGGCCTCTCTCCTTGACTTGTAGATGCTGTTTGCTTCCTGTGTGTCTTCACAAGGTCTTCCCTCTGAGTATGTCTGTGTTTCAATCTTCTTCTTGTAAGAACACCAGTCAGACTGGATGAGGGCCCACCCCAGTGACCTCATTTTAACGTAATCACCTCTGTAAATGCTCTACCTCCAAGCACAGTCACACTCTGAGGTCCTGGGGATAGGAACTTCATATGAATTTCAGGGAAGCACAGTCTGGCCCATGACAGGCACTGGCATTCAGCTGATGCTATAAAGCACAGGAAGTGCTCTGTGGATAACAATGATTACTCTTATTAACTGAGCTGGGGATTTCTTGTTGCTCTGAACGATATTTTACCAAAAGAGGGCTGAAGTCCCCTTTAAAAACACTTGGCCATGATCCTACCAGTGTCAGATGGCCACCAAAATAGAAAGCCTGCCTGCCAGACTTTGGCAGCTGGGAAGCAAACACTCTTCCATGTTGTATGTAGCTGCCAGTGCTGTGAAATTCAAGAGGCAGGTGCCTGGGGATGGTGAGGGACGTGACTTTACCAACGCCTGTGTTATCTAAACCCTTACAACAGTCCTGTGACGAAGTGGGCAGCCTCTTCATTTGTGGAAATGAGGGGCTACAAGAGGTCAGGGAATTGGCCCAACATACCCACCCAGTGATGTGGCGCAGGCCATACACCCAATAAATGCCCATTCAATCCATAATAGTCAAGAAGCATAGTCCTGATAGTGACTGTTGTCCAGCATGGTTTTTATGGCAAAGCATCATCGACTGTAATATGATTTCTATGGAAAATGGAACTAGGACTCTAAATTGGGGTGCCAAGAATCCACCCCACTGCCTCCCTGACCACTTGCATGCCCAAGCAGAGAGAAACCTTTTCTCTTTTTCTACAGAATGAAGAGGGCCCTGTGTCTCCAGGTGGGAGAGGGGCTGAGGTTCAGGTAATTAAGATTTTGGATAAGAAATGTAACCCCAGTGACAGGTCAGGGCCCCAGAACAGCAGTTAATAGGTCTCGGCAGGTTGGAGGGGGGCTGTGTGGGAAAGACTTCAAAGGGACCAAGTTGCTGGGTTGCTGAGAAACAGCCGTTTTCTTCACCACACCCTGTTCCTGCCCAATGACCAGAGCCAGGGTCATCTAGAAGGGATGGGACATCCTGAATGCTGGCATAGGAAGATTTAATGTGCTCAGCCCTACTGACTGCTAAGGATACCTGAGCCAGAAAGCTGTGGCCCAGGGGAGGGAGGGGAAGAGTGGCTGGACAAGGTGTCTCAGTGATAGGAGGGGGGAGTTGGAAGAGAAAATTGCACCAAGAGTGCAGGTGGCCTTTCTGTGTGAGGATAATTAAGTAAAGTGCAACCCCAGAGTCAGGAGAGCCTTTACATGGGGCAGGCTCAGGCGACTGGGCGATCCCCCGTCCTTCTCCCCTTTCCTGGACTTTACCTGGAGCTTGTGACCCAGCCAGGTGGCAGCCAGGACATCTCAAAGGGAAGGTTTCTGCTGTAAAATGAACAGGGATTCATGTGTGTCTGTGAGGCGGGAGCGCTGTGTCCTGATCGAGGGCAAGCACCTGAGGGGTCCAGGCTCCAAGCGACTACCTCTAATTCGAAGGCAAACCCGTTACTTTCTAGGTAAAGAGGTGGCACAGGGATCCCAGTTTCCTTTGATTCTCTGTATTTTTTCTATACGTCTTCACTTCATTGCCTCATCTTTCACTAAAGTAAAACCACCTACTGCTTGCAGTTGTAACAGAAGCACAATTTGAACTCCAATGTTTATTTTAACAGGGTAACATGATGTTTTTCTCATAGACTTTTACATATTTTCTCAACAAGACAGGCAAATCCTCATACCTACAGGCAAATCCTCAGACTCAGGCTGTCTTTAGCTACTGTAACTAAACCGCAGCCAACCAGGACACAGTAGACGGAAGCCCCCATCATCCAGGGCCCCTGCTCACCTGTCTTTCTATGCTGCATTTTGGACGAGCAGTTGCCAGCATGTCCCTGGAGCCTGCTCACCTTGGTGTCAACAGTGAACTCCAAAGCAGGCTGCAGGCCACGTAGATCCTTCAGAGGGATGTGAG